CCCTCCCTCCCTGCCTCTCCAGTTTGTGGGTTAGCCCCGGGGAGGGAGGAGTGGACAGAGCAAGTCTGTCCTAGGAGAGGCAGCCAGACCAGGCTACAGAGAGGGGAGAGGGACAAGGCGGAAGGAGAGGACAGACTAGGAGAATCTGGAGAGGAAGGGGGAGAACAGAGGGGAGTGAGGAAGAGAGAGGAGAGGAAGAAAAAGCCAGAAAAGCGTTGAAAGGGAGACCAGAGGGACCATTGTCACACCCTTGCGTTTCTTGCAACTTTGTCCTCCTGGGCCCTGGCCACGGCCTCAGGACCCCTTTGGTGGCTTTTCTTCCTCTATCAGCTCCTTCGTCCAGCCATCCCTCCCTGCTTACACGTTGTCCTTCCTGGAGAGCCCTGGGGGAAACTGGGTTGGACAGTACAGGAGCCTTTCTTGCTGAGACATTTTCTGAGATATTGTCAGGGTCCTCATGGGAGGCAGTGGCTTTCAGTCCTGGGCTTCCTCCAGGTGTCTAAGGGGGTTTGGGCAGCCAGGGCTGCCTCCCCTGGTCAGGAACAGCTCCCTGAAACTTCCCTGTAAGCTCCTGGGGTCCATCCTCCGGGAACATCATCAACCCTTGTGAACTCTTTCTGCTTCTAGACACACCCTCCTCTCTGGAGGTACCAAGTGGTCCTGGCCCAGATCTGGGCCTGTTGTCTGCTCCTTACTGCCCTAGGGAGTGGGCAGGTGGGCAGCCCCTTCCCCGACCCCTTTCATGCCAGCTCTGCCTCCCTTCTCCCTCCCTGTTCCTCTGCCACTTTTTGCATCAACACATATCCATGCATTAAACAAGACATTCCATTAATTTCTTCATCATCATAACTTAAGCTGGGACATACCCTTTAAATATTCATTCAGCTATGAAAACTGGGCATTAAAATTTTAATAATGTCAAGCTCATTTGAACCAGGCTCCTTGGGGACGATTACGATACAATTAGAATAAATACGATGATTGAGCTGGTCGAAAGGCTTCACCTGTCCAGCCTGGCTCTCCGTGGAAGGAGAGGCCTGTGGCTGGTGTGCAGACAGACA